ATTGGATCCTATTTGCTTTCACTCTCTTTTCTTTTGAAGTGACTCTTTATCTATCTCAAAACGTCAAATCTAGTCGTTAAAAGAACAATGTCACAATCACATCAAACGGGAACACCGAAACTTGCCATATGAATTGAAAGCAAAAATTACCCAATCAATTCTAAACTTATTATATAAATGTCAATTTAATTATAAATATTTCAATTTTACCAATTGAGTCTTAAATTTTTGCGTGAAACTTCAATGTAGTCCTTTCGATTAATTTTTGCTGGAAATCATTGACGTGGCGGTGTGTTACGTAGGATGACTGGTGATAACACACCGCCATGTCAGTAATTTCCGGCAAAAATTATCCGAAAGGATTACATTGAAATTTTGTGAACATGTTTAAGACTCAATTAGGAAAATTAAAATTTATATGATTGAATTAGCATTTGTATAATAGGTTTAGCAAGAATTGGACAATATCTCTTGGATTGAAAAATTAGCCAAAATTCATATAAGAGGCTAGGAGGTTAAAATGGAAGAACAGTTTTGCTCGGTCTCTTATGTATATATGATTTAATTTCCAGTAAGTGTAATTGAGTAAATCCAATGGCCATTTCAATTTCAAAATTTTATCTAAAAATCTCATAAAAAAGCCCATGCATCCATTTAAATATATTATGACCATACATAACTATAAATGGATAAAATCGTAATTTGTGATAATCAAGATTTTAGAGGAGTAATCATGAATACCTTACCCTTTAAATTGGAACTCAAGATAATTGTACAATATTTCATAAATAAAATTTGTCTTTCCTTTTACGACAATCTAGATTACATAAAAAAGTTGGTCCATATCTTCCATAATAGTTGTTCTTGGGATAATAACACCAATAATTCTTGACTTTTAAATTTATTCAATATCGTTCATGTGCTTCATTTTTGTCAATTTGGTTGTCCCTAAGCTATACACTAAAAAAAAAATAATACTCTTTCGTCTAAATTATTTCTTCCATTAGATATATAAATACACATGCTAACGTTCTAATTTACGTGTCTTTTATATGTTTTTCGAATAAATCAGAACAATAAATACTATAGAAAAGAAAAATTAAAAGGAAAAAAGGAAGACATTGGTCCAGCATCGACGCAACTTGCGGGGGGGTTGTGGCTCATACCGCTGGCGATCGTTGTGTGACGAGGGCCTAATGACGCATCTCCGAGGTGGGGTTGCACAACCTTGGTAACTACTAATCGGGGTCCAACGACCCTAGATGAGATCTATCTCACCGAGGTCACACAACCCTGCGGTGGTGTCCCTCGCCAGTGGCTTGGAGGAGCCTCCGCCACCATCCTCTCTCTCTCTCAGAGGTTTTGAGATTTTTCATAAAACTATAAACTTATTTTCATTAAGTCAGCACTAAAAAATCATGTCCTTTATTTTATTGGGCTAAAACTGATGTTGCACTCATGTGGTGATCTACGTTAACATTTTCATTTCCATATTTAATAGAAAGACTGATTTTAGTAAAAGGCATATAATTTATAGATCACATCGTCGGAAAAAATGGGTACAAGGATGAAATTGAATGAATTATATGGATAAATCTATTTTCTTTACTCATATAATTTTATTCATTGTTACTTTTTGCTCGCAAAGCATGTGTCCTCTTTCTAGTATATATTAATATTGAACCGCACTCTTTCCACTCTTAATTTGGCTAAAACACTCTCCAATAAGGTGTTATGATCATTTCGTTTATTGTGAGTCTCACCTTTCAGCATCTTAAGCATTCTCTTGATATTATTTTTTTATTATTTCTTTTGTGAGTCCCACTTTTTTTCATCTTCATCATTCTCTTTTTCTCTCCCTAGCATACAATCATCTTTCTGTTTGGTTGTGGCTCCCACTTTCACTCTTTTTTGTAAACCCTGGTGTCCTCCTGCGGAGTTGAGGAGGATGCAGAGCGCGATAATCAGAGAGAGATAGGATTGTGAGGTGGCCTCCGAGCGCCGATTTCTTGCTGAGTTAGCTATGAGTTAGCTATTATCGCACTTGAGATTTTCCTTCGATACAGAGAGGATCCATCCGTCAAGCACAAACCTTCAAACTCCATCAATCTTGACTCCTCAATATTTCCCTTTGAACCCATCATTTCAAATCCAGCAGAGTTTGCAATTTGTACATTTGTTAACAAGTTGAAAAAGTTTAAATTGGTCTCAATGAAACAATAGAGCAGCATAACTTATAGAGAAGCATAATAACAAAATCTATTCAAAAAAAGATGCACATCTTATGAGCATGAATATATCGAATTGTTCAGTAAGTTGAGATCTTGCAATATCATTGCAACACATCATTCAATTTCTAGTACTTAAGTAAGCATGGAATATCCAAGCGAGCATATAAGAAGAACTGGCATACAAAAGAACTAGTGTCCATCCTTGCCGGTATCTCAGCCTGAATTTATAGTACCACGCTCTACTCAAGAACATGTATAAGAATCCGATGGGCACGATCAAACATCGGCATGATCAAATCCGAGTAGCACATGAGCACCGAGCACAAGATGTGGACTAGGACAACAATGGGCCAGAAGACATGTGCGCCGCCTCATCAAGCATGTGATAATCGCGTTCCAAGCACGGCCTCAAATACAATCAGCCACGGTAAGACCCACCTCCGCCGGTACTGCTCTTTAGCGCAAACCACTTGATTACCACGTGCCTCTCATCTATTCATTGCTCCATCGGGCTCGCTGCTTGATCGGAGAGGTAGAAGCATACACTGTCAAGGAAGGTCTCCGATAGTGAGTCCTAGACGAAGATCTCCAGTATGGAGCTTGCCAACTCACGCTTGTTGCGGCCGAGTGTAAAGAACTGGTGCCACTCCAACGAGTGGGTCGGCTTGCCAGGGTGAGGAATCGTCGGCTTCAAACAGACATAGTGAGTCGACAGGTAGATGTTTACGTAGGGCTGTCGTTGCGAGCGAGACCTCGCGACTTGACGATCTTGATGAACAAGTACTGTATTGGCTCCGCCAGATTGTTACTGATGGATCCTCTCCGTCTCAGATCGCAGGGGCAAGGTAACTACCTCACGAGAAAACAATTGCCTGCAAGAGAGAGAAAGAAAGAAGGACGAAGATGAAGGAAAGTTAGACCTGCAAAAGAAGAAACTGAAAAAAGGACACTAAAAGTGCGTTTGTCTGGGGAAAAATATTTTTCAAAAATTGATTTTCCGGACTTTTATCCATTTGGTTACGGGAAAATGACTAGTCAATCGAAAATATTTTATGAAAATATTCATGCATAAATTTAGAAAAATGAATTCTGAGATGTAAAAAGATAAAATCGCTTTCCAGAATTGCTGTCTTGAATTTTTTTTTCTTTTCTTTTCTTTTATTTCCTTTTTCTTTTTTCTATTCTTTCTTTTTTTTTCCTTTCCTTTTCTTTTTCTATTTTCCTTCTTCCGCCAGTCGCCGGCCTCGATGACGGCTGGCGATCAGCCACAATCGCGGGCTGGCCTCGCCGCGTCGAGCCTTAGCTCGGCTGAGGCCGGCGAGCTGCGAGCTCATTAGCCCGAGCTCTGTCAAGGCCGGTGAGCCTGAGCTTGGGCGAGCCTCGAGCTCGAGCTCACCTATGGCAGTCGTCGGGTGAGCCTCAAGTTCGTCTGTGGCCGTCGCCGGCCGGTTGCGGCGGAGGAAGAGGAAAAAAGAAGGAAAGAAAAGAAAAAGAAAAGAGAAAAAAAGAAAAAAATTTAAAATTCAAATTTTAAAAAAGAAAAGAAAAAGAAAAATAATTAAAATTCGATATTTTTAAAAAAATAAAAGAAAATATATAAAATATAAAATTTGAATCTTTTAAAAAAAATTCGATTTTTTTTTGCTCGAGATAAAGTCATGAGATTAAAATCATTTTTCAAATAATATATAAACCCCATAAAACGTTTTCAATCACATATTACCAAATAAAGGAAAAACTAACCGTTTTCCTGGAAAATGATTTCTTGAAAAATATTTTCCAAAAGCGTTATATTTTTCGTGAAACAAATGTACTTTAAGGCTCCGTTCGTTTGGCGGAAAATATTGTGTTTTTGGAAAATGTTTTCCCGGAAATCATTTTCCTAGAAAATATTTTTCCGGAACACAATTTTCCGGTGTTCGGCTGAAATATGAAAAAGTTTCGAAAAATATTTTCCGGCGTTCGGCAACGATCGGCGCCGGCTGTGTTCTTTTTCCTTCTTCTTCTCTGGCAGGGCGCCGGCCACGGCCACGGCCGACGTCCGGCGACCGGCAAGAGGCGAGCTCAAGCCTCGCCACAGGCCGGCGAGGCCCCTAGCTCTCCCCGCCGGCGAGCTCAAGCCTCGCCACAGGCCGGCGAGGCCCCTAGCTCTCCCCGCCGGCGAGCTCGGACCTCGCAAGATCGGCCTCGCCCGAGGTCGCCCAATCCGGCGACCTCGGGTGAGCTCGACCCTCGCCCAGGTCGCCGGATCTAGTGAGGCCCGAGCTCGCCGGCCGTGCGAGCTGGGGCATCGCCGGACGTCGGCGAACCTCGCCCGAGGTCATCGAAGAGGCTCTGGCGAGGCCGAGCTCGCCGGTCGCCGGCCGCCGACTGGCTGAGGTAGAAGAAGCAGAAGCAACAAAAAAAAAAAAAGAAAATAGGAAGAAGTCTGAAGCAAAGCAGAGCTTCAGACTTCCGGAAAATGACTTCCGCTTCTCAAAAGCGGAAGTCATTTTCTTCAAAACAATAAAGGATTTGGGGGTGGGGAAGGAAAATATTTTCCGCCCCCGAACATTGAAAAACGCAAAAAATATTTTCCGAAAAAATATTTTTCAAGGCACGAACACAGCCTAAGAGTCGAAAAAGCAACGCTTCTTAATATTTTATAATTTAGAAGTGCATTTCTTGTGGTTAAATGAACGGATGGTGACATGACAGCCTTTTCTCCTCCCACTGCGAGGAGGTAGCGTCACTGCCGCCACACTAGATAACACCAGGCGAGCCACACATCCGCCACGTGGCAGACCCAGAGGGACCCGCCGAAATTCACATATTCGCTCCTCTTCAAGAATCTCTCTCATGACGCTCCCTCTCGATTGCTTTGGCGTGTTTAGATCGAACAACTGGTCTCCGTCACACGACACACAACCGGAATTTACATAGATCCGCCATGAAACCCAACCCCTTCAAGCTTCGAGTCCATTAGGAATTGGCTCCCTTGAAACTTCCACACGCATGCCATGTCCGGCTCCCTCGAGCGTGGTAAGTCCCACCTTCTCCCAGCAACTTCACGTTCTCCTGAGTTGTCCGAGCTCGTTCGGTCTGTTCATGAACTGCTTGTTTGCACCACTTTTGAGCATGTGTTTGGACTTTTCTGTCAGGAAAGATGGCATTCTTGAGATGGAATTCTTTTGTTAACTGCTGTGTGGACCGTTTTTGAATTTGTGTGTACCTTGTTGGACTGGCTTTTATCTTGTCTTGTTCGTTGGCGGTTCATCCTATATTTAGATAATTCTGATTGGATTGTAAAAAGGGTAATTTCTTGCATAAATTGGGCTTCTGGACTGCACCTTTTCTGGTTTTGGGCATGTGTGGTCTTTGTGAAACGTCGGACTATAGACAGGTGTTGTATGCAATCGTTTTTCGTAAATGAAGTCTCCGGTGGCTTCTGCTTTCTATGGTTTTTGCTAAAGCTCGGACCTCTGAATCGGTTTCAGAGACAGTTATGCTTGGAAAATTAATGAAGGCAAATGTCACCATTAGTCTGAGGTTGAACTTGTAGTTGCAGCTGCTGGTCGTGAACAATATAAGACAGGGAGGACTTGTGACTCATTCCATAGAAAAGGAAAATTTTAATGGAATACTGTGCGTCAAAAGTTGACTGGAGATATGCTTGCTTAAATTCTAATCTGTTGCAAAAATAGATAGTGAAAGAACTGGAACAGGGCATAGCGCAACGTTGTATCACGGGTGAAGAAATTGTTCCAATATTCATGACTGTTTGAAAGAGGGGTGCAAGTAATGGGAGCTTTAATTGGACTTAAAACATATTTTAAGGTTATGAGGGGATCTCCGATTCCCATGAGGAAAAAAGAGAACTAAAATGGGAACTCGAAAGTTTTGGAGAGGAGCGGCGGACAAGGATGGGGAGTCTGAAAAAGAAAGCGATCAATGCATCACAGAAGTTCAGAAGCTCGCTCTCTGTCAAGAGAAGGGGCCACAGGAAGAGCGATAGCCAAGTTATAAACTCCCCAATCGAGGATGTCCGGGATGTTGAGGAGCAAAAGATTGTTGATGAATTTCGGCAAACGCTGATTTCAGATGGGTTTCTACCTCCAAGACACGACGATTATCATATACTTTTGAGGTGATCTTCTTTGTCAACTTTCTCATTCCCCTCTCTTTAAGTCAACATTCGACCAATGCATGATTATTTATCATGCACACGTGATGGGCTGCATGTCATCTCTCTCTTCTCCTTTATGTTGCAATTGGAATATTGGGAAGTGTTTGACCCAACCTAAGAATGGGCTGCCGACATAAAACTTTATCATGTTTATACATGTATTTGTCTTAAGTAGTACCAGACTTAGTCTTCAGGCAATTATGTGGTAGAAACTGAAGTTTAGACATTACCTGCTGTGGATTTGTCTTCTGAAGTGGAATGTCTGGCTAAATGGTGTTCCATTATGTAGCGCTAAATCATGTGAAATTCGTTAATATGCTAAAGAGAACTCAATTTTTTCTTCCAAGTTTTGTTGCGAATGGCTGGCAGTAAAATGAACTTAGCGCATCTGCTGCATTTTGTCAAAACTCATTCAGCTTGAGCTCCTTCAGCAGTGGCTTTTCAATTTGTTATTTGTTCTGTTTTAATGTCATCCTTCGAAACTTATTCTTTTGGTTCTACTAAACAAGCTTTTTAGGTTGAGCTTGTTCTTAACTTCTGTACATCAAGACTTACGTCATATTTTTCTTTAGATTTCTGAAAGCAAGGAAATTTGACATCGAGAAAGCAAGACATTTGTGGGCTGAAATGATTCAATGGAGGAAGGACTTTGGCACTGACACGATTTTGGAGGTACTTCGATATTTCTCTTGCATATTGAGAGTTTGAATATTGGGCTAAAGAGTGATACTGCTTATCTCTAGAAACTTCTTTAGAACTGGCCTGCTTATGTGGCTGTTTTCAGGAGTTGATTGCTTCAAAATCTTTTTCTTTCTTGCATGTAGTGCATATCACTTTGTAGCTAATTCTGCATCAAATTGCTTGCTCGCCGCTGTTTTAGTCTTGTACGATGCTGGACCCTCTTCTTTTTCTTCTTTCTTCAGGATTTTCAGTTCAGAGAGAGAAATGAAGTTCTTCAGTACTACCCTCAGGGGTATCATGGGATAGATAAAGACGGAAGACCTATTTATATTGAGAGACTCGGGAAAGTCAATCCTGACAAGCTTATGCAAGTGACTACTTTGGATCGCTATGTTAGATACCATGTTCAGGAGTTTGAGAAAACTGTTGCCTTTAAGTTCCCAGCTTGCTCTGTTGCTGCAAAGAAGCAAATAAATTCAAGTACAACCATTTTGGATGTTAAGGGCGTGGTACGTTGATTGATACTTTATTGGCAGTTCCTTTGATCTCTATCTAGAGCTATTATGGCCTTAAAATAATCATCTTTGGTTATTATACATAACACCAGGGTCTTAAGAACTTTACAAAACAAGCACGTGAACTCGTCATGCGGTTACAGAAGATTGATAGTGATTATTACCCCGAAGTACGTAAATCAATCTGTTCCCCTGATACTCTTGTTCTCTGGCAGTTGCTGTCTTGATCAGTTATGGTTATGATTTTGGCTGAATGGAGTTTTCAGATACAAAGTATTGTAATAAGTAAATGACATCTGTACAGACACTCTCCAGGATGTTCATCATCAACGCTGGTCCTGGTTTCAAGCTTCTCTGGAACACAGTGAAGTCTTTTCTTGATCCCACGACGATTTCAAAGATTCATGTAAAAGTTCAATGTCCAGTTGAGCATTTGACGGAAAATTCTGCTCCGCCTTATATAAATTAACAGAATTTCTATGCAGGTTCTTGGTAACAAATATCGAAGCAAATTACTTGAAGTAATTGATGCAAGGTTAGACATTGCGTTTATTGTGATTGTAACGGTAATTCTAAGCTGGCTGTGTACTTCTAAGGCATTAAGACATTCTAGGTTTGCAGTGAGCTGCCAGAATTTCTTGGTGGTAGCTGTACTTGTGCCAACCAGGGTGGCTGCATGAGATCGGACAAGGGTCCATGGAAAGATCCCGACATACTAAAGGTGAGACACGATAGTCCTTATTCTTAACTCCGGCGGGAAAGAGAAGGCATATTTTTTAATATTACTATGCTAATGAACTTTATCATTGCATGTGTGAACTATTGTAGATAGTGCTTGATGGCCAAGCACTACCTGACAGACATACAACGATGGGCAGGAACATCAATGAGGAAGTTGCTTCTTGTGATACCCTGGCCCGTCCCCTGGTATGTTCTTGCTAAAGTGAGGTCTTATCTAGACAATTGGACGCTGACAATCGTTTCACAAATTTTCGTTCATGCTCTCTAAGAGTTTTATATAAGTTTATCAGTGATAAAGTTTTCTCAATGTTAAACTAAGGTTTTATCCTGCTTTAAGTTTATCATTTGTTTATTGTTTGTGTTCACTGTTGAGTTAGATAAATAAAGGTACGTCAGCTGCGGCAGCATCAGGATCTGAGGTGGATGATATAGCTTCTCCCAGAACAGAAAGGAGCTATATTGTCCCAGATGTGACTTCTTTCTCTGAAGAAGTAAGTTAATTTGACATCAGAATGATAGTTATATATGCAATGTCTACAAGTGGTATTCATGGGATTCCTTATTCTAGGCAAAGATGACAAGTAACGGAACTTCTGTGGGTAACTTATCTGGATATGTTGAAAGTAGTTCTATGATTGACGAGGCTGTAGACCAGGGTTCGGGGATGACAGACAGCCTTCCTGGAGGTCAGCAATTTCAATAAATTTACTGGGTGATCATCAATGCCCTTATTTTCTTGGTTGTTGGGGGCATGCGAGAAAGTTGAGCTTGGACCTTGTTGCCTTTAGTAACATACTCATCCTCTACAATACGGAATTAAGCAGTCCATAAACAAGTTGGATACGAAGTGGAATAAACTATGACCCTTATTTTATTAGTCAATGTCACTTATGTCACATATTACTATTCATTCAGTGTCATTACACATGGAGGGGTCACTTCACATAGATCATATTATAGGAGCATATGTGAGACGATGACATGATGGTAGTTGGACACTGAACCTCTTGCACCCTTGTAAAGAGATTGGTTGAATACTGTCCAATTTTGTGGGCATGTAACAATGTCTCGAGAGCATATGTTTCTGGCACCAGCTAGATGGTACAAATAATTTGAGGTAGCTTGGGTCATGTGATATGTGTTTCAGGGATGTTTCCTGTGCCTGGCATTGATATACATGGAGGAGGAACCTATACTCGTTTCGATGCTGCGCTAGTGGCCTGCTTTATGCTCGTCCTGGCTTTTGTCCGTTCAGTCGCATACCATTTGATTGAGAAGGTCAGCAGCTCTATGCTCAATTCCACTCGTCATAATCCTGAATCTGTCATGGATCCTGTTGAGGAGTCCCATCTGCCTTCCACTGTTGCTAAGCATAAAGAGGGGGATCTTTCCTCATCTATTTGGAGAAGGCTGGATGAACTTGAAAAGAAGGTAGGAATGCAACATGAAAGGCCTGCTGCAATTCCACGTGAGAAGGAAGAGTTGCTGAATGCTGCTATTTGCCGCCTAGATGCATTAGAGGCAGACCTAATTGCCACTAAAAAGGTAAAGACTAAAATTCATTCAGGATTTCTGAGTTGAATGGGCTCTTCATTGGGGAAAAGTGTAGAAAAGTTCTAAACTTTTTGCATTGGTGCCAATTTAGTTCTAAACCTTTTTTTTGTGCCAATTCGGTCCTAAACATTTTGTCTTTATACCAATTCGGTCCTTCCGGCTAATTTTGGCCGAATTTTGCTAACGTGGACACCAGACGGCCTACATGACACTGCCGGCGATCACGTGGACAACTTTTAATAATATTTTAATATTTTTTTTATTTGTTTAAATTATTTTGTCTTATTTTTCTTTCCCTTTCTTCTTCCTCCAGCCCGTCGCCGCTCAGGCGACCGGCTGGAGGCCAGGGCAGCAAGCCCCGGCGGCCACTGGCGAGGCTTGCCCTCGCCGGATTTGGCAAGGTTGGGCCTCACCCATGGCTGGCAAGGCTTGACCCTCGCTAGATCTGGCAAGGGCAAGCCTCGCCCAGCCGCTAGCGAGGCTAGCCTTCGCTGTCGCTGGCGAGGGCGAGCCTCCCCCATGGTCGGCGAGGCAACCCTCGCTAGATCCGATGAGAGCGAGCCTCACCCAGCCTAGCGCAAGGCCACCGTCGCGGCCATCCGGCGAGGGTCGAGCCTCGCCGCCCTCGCTAGTGGCTGGCCGGGTGGGGCTCCACCAAAGGCTAGCGAGGTTTGCTAGCCCTGGCCTCCAGCTGGTCGCCGGACCAGCGACCGGCCGGAGGAAGAAGAAAGGGAACAAAAAAAAAAAAAAAAAAAGAGAAAAAAGAAATAAAATAAAATAAAATTCAAAAAATATTAAAATATTATTGAAAGTTGTCCATGTCATTGTTGGCGGTGCCATGTAGACCGGTCGGCGTCCACGTTAAAAAAATCAGGCCAAAATTAGTCGAAATAACTGAATTGGCACAAAAAAAAAGGTTTAAGACTTTTTTGACACTTTTCCCCTCTTCATTGCGTGCTAATTCTGGCATTTATCTTTTTATTGTAATGATGTCCTTTCACGTGAGCAGGCGCTGTTTGAATCTTTGATGAGGCAAGAAGAAATTATTGCATATATCGATGCGGCCAAACATAAGGTCTGAGCTGCATCTACGAATTTGGCATGTGTTGATTTTCTTTTCTTTACCTAGTTGGACATTGCTGGGTTGGGGTCAGGTTGTGGGCATACAATTTGTGTATATTTTGATGCCGAAGATTATTGTTGCCTGCAATCTGAAAATGGCAGTTGTTTGTCTCATTCTTGTCTGTGCGGCAGAAGAAGTGCTGGTGAAGATATGGGATCTACTGGTGGAGAGAATGCTGAGTGGTTTGGTAACATTATTCAACTGGCGTACGTGTTGGCACGTCCGTGAGTTGCTTGCTTGATTCTGGTAGTGAAGACTCCTGGTTGATATCCATTTACGGCCACCAGGAGGGAGAGTACTTCCATTACTACTCAATTTAATCTGCAACCTCCTTTCTTGCAACTACTCATGTTTAGAGAGTTATAGGCGGGAGAATCGAGGAGAAAGCAAAAGAAATCGACCTGGATGGAGTGATCTACGTAAGATCGTCGTTTGTTTTCATCCTGATCAAAGATGTTCTGTTATTTCAAGTTCTTGTCAACACAGCCTTGGTCGCTTCACTGTGAAAGAGATCGGCATTGGGTTGCGGACTGAGTGTTCTTTTCTCATGTTTTATATTTGTATATTGCATGGTTACAAAGTCACTTGGGTATCTTGTGATCAAATGACGCGACTTTAAATCATCTTTTGTGGAAACTTTAAAGGTATAATAAAACGTCCAAAATAAAGGAGAATTCTCAACACGCCTTTTTACAAGTACCACCAATTGTACAGGAAAATTCGTAGGTGATCTGAGCGTAACTAAATTCAATGTACCTAAGCTTTTAATGTTGGTAAGTTTCTCATGGGATCTATGTGATTTAAAGATTGAGATGCAACCGGTGGACCAAAGAATGCCTCGTAATACGGAGTGAGCTCCTTACACTCTTTATAAGAGCTTGAACGGAGTGAGCTTGTTATCCTCTTAGAAGAGCTCGAGGCAAATCATACACTCAAGTCGAAAACATAACTGAGGCCCAGCTAAAAACAAGCTACCATTGGAAGGGGGAAAAGGGATTCTTGACGTAATTTCCATTGCACGTCACAGTTAAAATTCTAAAGAAATAAACGAAACACTTCTAAATGTGTTCTGAAAGAATAATCACGGTTGGATAGATAGTCGTAGTCTTCATGTTATATCATGTCCAATGTTGAAGCAAGACCCAGGGAAGGCGCAAGCAATGAACACAATTCTTTTCCATGTTTTCCCCGACAAAACATTGCTCTTATTGCCCCTCGAACGATGAAGAAAATGGCACCTGCTTACATTATCGAACAGTAATTGTGGTAGCGATCTTCTGCAACTACATACCAAACACATCTCTGACAAGTCTTGGGTGTCTGAGGAATCATACTATATTTCTTTTCATCTTTCTTGTCTTCTTTTGGAGGCCCGATGCTCACAAAGTGTGCAGACTTTCTGAACTTCCTCACCTTCTTTATGATCTTTGCTGGATCAGCTTCACCAATCACTGTCACAGTGTTCTTTGATGGGTCAAGGACAATGGAAGTAATGCCTTCAATGGTGGCCACCAATTTCATAACCTTGAGCCTGCACTTTGAACACAGCAGCTCCACTGACACTATGGTTTTCTACAACAGAGAAAGTGCAGTCAGAAGTTGCTCAGACTCTGAACTTGCAGAAACAGAGCATCTAAGAGCTGGAAAAAGTACTGCTGTGTCAGAGTGAGCAGAGAATTGCATAGGAAAATGAGCCACTCAGGAATCACATGCACAACTAAAAGCATTACTTATAGCAGCAAGATCACAAGATTAGAAACTAGGGGAGAAAAGGAAAAACCTTTGACATGGTTATTGACAAATGGAGCAAGATACTAAAGCTAGAGAATCTGCTATATATATAACTAATACATCAGTGTAATTTACTAAGGAAACACGAATTTAATCTATTGGGTTGTAACAGGAATTCTCTCTCTCTCTCTCGTTGCTAATGGGCCCCATTGGTTGAAAACTAAATGGAGTGGCAGGGTGGGTTGGTAACTGGAAGTAAATGTGTGTCGGAACAGTATTAATTGCCAATCAAGAACGTCCTCTGAATATCTTAGGCTACTTGCACCAGATTACCTGAACATCCTCTAGGAAATAGTAAGATAGCTATAAGCACTTGGAGTTTGTTCATCAGATCCGGTCTTTCAAAAGATGAAGGTAAGACGAACTGGCAATGTTTTGTCCGTGGAATGGTTGCTTTGCTATCACGCCGATATTGGCTTGCGGACAGTTCTGCAACCATCTGCAGCAAATCCCACTCAAGTAAAGAATCAGATCCTTAAAGAGTGCTAATTAGACAGTCATAGAAGGGATCAGCTTCTCAGTACAACTCTGATAATGAATAATGTTAGCGCAAGAGGTGCATGTCTTGACGCCACATTGGAAAGCTTTTCCTTAAAAAAGGTACAAAGAGACAGAGACAATGGAGCCCCACGGATATCAAAAGCACAGGATATACACCTTGCATTTGGTTCCATCGGGTTCATAAGGACTGTTTGCATCTCCAAATAGACGACTACAACTACTTGTACATCTTGACCACCCAGATTGTCGGTTTGCTTAATGAGCTCATTAAGAAGACAGGCAGCTCATTCATTTCCAACTACACAACATCCTCAGAACCTAGAAAATAGATTGCTAAATTTCATCCGATATAGAAATTAATCTTAAAAGGTTATGTCACATATATTGCGCCAGAAACACCAAAAACTTGCAGTTATTAGTGTACTGAGGGATGGACAGGGCAACACTTCATCCAGCACATTTAGCATACAGCTAAAGAACAAGAAGAAAAGAAAAATGCAAAAAATCAAGATCCAGCTGGATGAATTAATAAGCCATGTGGTATGGGATGGTATGACCCTTTAAGTAGTTAATCCATCACTTTCTATTGGGCTCTGCGGCCATGGCCAAAAACTCTGTCCCGTCCATATCATCTTTCTTTTATTATTTATTTCCTTTTGGACACTCAGTTGTTCACCTAACTTGTCAAAGCTGCATGAGCCTCCGCATAAGAAGGAAAGAATATCGAATTAATATGTGCAGATAGATGCGTATATGTATCTAGATGATGCAAGAACTAATACACATCTGTACCAGGACCGGCCTTCACATAAAGAATATCTGGTTAAGCATATAGCAGCAGCTGCTTCTGGAAGCGTATGGACTCTCATAGCTCTGGTTCCTTGAAAGACATAAAGGTCTTTCAAACCTTGTAGAGCAAAACTATTTGACAACAAAATCATAAAGTACCTGTGACCATTGTAATTTAAAAGTCCTTGAAACCAGGAATCTGGAGCAAGAATTAGTTCGTGCGGCAGCTTTAGCCATTTATTAATAAATGTAACAGCGAAGTAGAAGTAATAATCAAAGCACGATACTGCTTACTCGTAGCTGCTAACGTTTGCTAAAAAGAGCTACCATCGATGTAGAGTGTAAAATGTTTTCCATCTTGAAGGGACTGACAATTAAGTTTACACCAAAATCTCTGCCCATAGGTCAAGTCTCTATCCAAACCTTTGGAGAGCTTTTACAGAAAACCTTCAAATACTACTCCAACCATTCAATGGTACACATGTAACACTTACCACAGAATCATCAACAACTGTAATCCCTAGGCTATACAGTATGTCCTCCATCATTGTATACTTTCATACAATTTGACGGTATGATTGTTCTCTGTTCCCGGTCCATTTTGCAGGGCCTCAGTGTAGGCGCTCACAATCTTCTGATCTAGTTCATAGTAGTACTCCATCTTCTCCAAAGGCTTCAAATCCAGGTCAATGAAATGCACCTACGTGATTGCATCTTACATAAGTCATTACTTCCGGAAGAACTTACATGAAACAAGAAACTCAAAATTCATGCTGAAACTACTGCAATACTAGCAGATGGTTTATCTTCTTTTTGGGTTGTAGCTAGATGGATAATTATAAAGCAGCATTGACCAGAATACAGGAACTATTTGGCACCAAAATCATAATACTTTATCGTATAGATGAACCTTATTGCATGAAATACACTAGCAACATGATAAAACGCCAGATAGCAAGAAAATTTCTGCAAACTTTTAAGAAACATATCATTGTATAATTTCCTTTTTACCACAAAGTGATCAATGTGATATTCAATATAGTTCACTTCTAGGCGCATTAAAGATAGAAAGACTAAATCCCTTACGACGAGCAGAATCTTCAACAAAAGATCAAATCAAGATACCATTGCTTTTAACTACAAAAGATATGTTTTACCTTATAATCAAACACTTGGTTAGTTGACTCTAGGTAAACCCGGTCATATGGAGAATCTGAACCACCATCTTCCCTTCGTCTGAAACAAAACATTAAACTGCAATCTTTTGCAGTTGCAGCTATCAAAAATTTTTTCACAATCTCCAAGCTCTCGTTGGGAGGAAGCGCATGCAAAAAGGTAGATATGGGCGAGACTTTGTCTTCACCCAGCTGTCTACATACTGAACAAGGTTGAGATATAAAATTATAGTATGCATGAATTGCTCCTTCTACATCATAATTATCGAGCTTCTGAACATCAAGAAGACGGTCCAATACTCCAGATTTATAAACTGTCTCGGTGAGAAGCTCAAGAAAACTTGTCATTCGTAAACCATCATCTGCCTCGATGACATATTTAAATACATCTTCAAGTGCTTCAGCAGTTGTGGTAGAATTGTCTGCAACACCACCAAACCCACCCAAAATGAGAGAACCATTCAAGAACACGCGGAAATTGTTCTGCGGGTTGTTGCACAAAGCTTTTAAAGCTTCATGTATTCTTTCCTTGGATCCAGAGAACAGATCCAACGGATCATATTCACTTAGATTTGGTATCTGGACAAAAAATGCAAAAGGTACTGGTCAGACTTAATTACATACCATGGCATACCCACTCAAAATAAAAAGCCTGCACGCTTTCTAATACCAAGAGAAAGGGAATCATAGCTCAAATCTGTTAAGAGTGACTTTAAGCTAAACTACTGAAGTAAACTCACAAAGCGAGATGGGACCTCTTTTTACAATTACTGCATTGCAGCTAAATGAGATAGAAGGGGATGAGTGCTTTGTCTGTGATTATTATAATTGTAAGATGGGCTCCTTGGAGAAGAAACTAAGGTAGACTGGGAATGGATGACTCTTCCTACAAGGGAAAGAAATGACTTAAATAACTCCTCTAGCTGCTCTTTGGCTGATCTTTGGAACGAAAACCAGGAGCTCTTAAAGGTACAGAGTCTTCTTGGCAAAATGAGAAAATATTTTCCACCTATGTATTTTGGTACAATAGCAAAGCGCAACTTCATATATGGGATCCAATAGGTTGACAGATCCAATTAGTTTTGTTTCCTTTCTTGTATACAAGTGGCTACACCATTTGAGCGGTTTTGCAAGGTAGCACTACTATTTGGCACCGGTATAAGGAAAGTAATCTTTGTGATTCAAAAAGAATCTTAAACTATTACCTTTTGTTGACGGAACTTCAGGACTTGGTGCATTTTAAAACGAGTAGTGCTCCTCTTAATTGCATTCTGCCTGGCAATGTGTTTGGAGAATGGTAGAAATCCACATTTGGGCTAAACTCCAAAACGGAAAAAAAGCATGCAAAAAAATGAACAACTTTCACAAACTCGAGGATAAAAAAGATGCAACAAATGAATCATTGCAGAAAGAAGAAGTAGCTAAAGTGATGCACCTTTATCTCTACAGATATGCAGGCATTGCCTTTGAAGATACCTGAAACAAAATAGATATAATAAGCAAATACTCTATCTTGGAGATCATGCAAAAAATTCATTTACAATCTTCATTCGAGCTTATATTTGCAAGACCCAGTTAATGAACAAGGCTATTTGCTTCTTGGGATAAGTCTGACATCTTAAAATTGAGTTCATACAGTGTCCCTTTGCCCAATGATGAAAATCAATGGAGCAGTAAAATAGCAAACTTTTGAATAATCTCTGTGAAGGATCCTAGCAACAGGGGAGGACATGTACACAGTCTGGGCAATTTCATTGTATGCATCTTTCCTTTTACACCTAAAGCTTACAGAAGCCAATCGTGGGGTCCAACAAAATGACATTTATTGGTGAAGATATTTTATTTAGCTGATGGAATATATTCAGTTAATAGAGAAGTCTTACTTCAAAACGTCAAAGTATTACTGTGTACATATTGAATAGGAGGAAGTTAGTCAACTACAAAGTCCCGAAATGAGGGTAAAGATTGGACAGAAGTACTCACCATGAGGGAAAAGGGAATGGTCAGAAATTAGAAGTGCAGATTCGTTAAGTGTATCAACCTTGGCAGCATCGATTCGCCAATCAGGACGATGACTCTTAATATTTCTCTCAATTTCCTCAAGAAATTCCCTAGATACAAGGACTTGAATCTGCAGTGTGAAAGAAATGATGGCAGAGAGGGAAAAAGATATTTTATGCTGTGTATCAATTTTTTTTTTTCGGCAATATGAACAGAAACTAAAGCGTAAGGAATATGTCTTAGAGCAGCTAGAGATATGATTGTTGTATGAAATTTTGTACTTCGATAATGCCATTGTAAACATTCATTATCCAACCAGCAAACAAGTACGAGCTTTGATGTATACGAAAGCATACAATACTGTACTGATTGAATGGTCCGGAGTAGCTTTCTAGGGGGGTGTAAGCATATATCTCGACATACCATCAAGCAAATATTCTGGAAGGCTCAAAGATAACAAGGCAACTTATAAAGCCACCAATTTAATGGCCTTAGACTAAGAGTTAAAATCAAGGTCTTTAAAAAATTAATCGATTTAAACTATTCAAAGGCTTAGGAGTAATATATTAATCGTTCTCAAAGATCAACACCGATGCAACAGTATAAATTCTGAGAATCAACTCGGGAAAAGAACAAAACAAGGACAAGCGCACATACCCCGGCATCTACATGTTTTGAACCTAACAACGGGCTAATCACATGTTGTGCATATTGCTGGGCTGCAATTTCTTTAGTCGGGGACTGTACAAGTTCTTCAAAATCTTTCCACAAGAGACGTTCGTGCTTGGAAAAGCTCAAGGAACCATTGGAGCAATGTGTTCCATTTTCGGGAGCCTTGTGTATCCGCAAAACTTTTCCAACCTAGACAAACAGTAGAGCAGCAATCACACTAATTTGCCCCAGTTAATCACACATCTCTTCATCATCCAAAAGAAAAAGATACTAAAAAGGACTTTAAGATCAAATTCCTGAGACCTCATTAGTGGAAAAGGTGAAGGCACATCCATTTACGTGAAGATTCAGCACGACAGTTTTACTATCCTTCACTCATTTACCAGGAGAGAAAGCAAACCCAAAGATTCTTTTTTTTTCTTTGTTGGGATAAGCAAAAGCAAAGCAAGAATGCAATACACAACAACAGCAATGACATTGACGTCAGTGGCCACATGGGTACAGGAAAGGGGGTTCATTCCAATTAGTGCTATTTTCGGGGATAAAAGATTGTAGTGGTCAGGAAAGAAGATTCCCAGAACAAATTTCTCGGACTTTCCAAGCATTATCCTTCCCTGAAAACATCCCTAGAACAACGTCCTCGGACTTTTCAAGCACCGTATTTCCCTCCTCCGTTCCGAAACTAAAAAAGAAGTTGCAGCAGCAATCATAACAACTCATTCGACAGAATTTCACTCCATCTCTCGAGAACAGAGTTCCAAATTTTCACAGGGCGCAATCTTTAACTTAATGCGCCGAAATTCGAAGCACAAACAAACTACTCACGAGATGTGGAGCGGATCCAGCGTAAGCGAGGACGATGTTCGCAGCTCCTTCGCCTCTGTAAACCCAATCGGCAGCATCCTTTTCCTCCAGGAGAATCAGGTCCATTTCCGAACGCCCCGCAATTGGGTCACTTCAAATTTCCGCTGCACAGCCCGAAGGGAAGCGAGAAAGCTCAGACATGCAGATTGTGAAGACAAAAAAAAAACCAAAAGGGTGCGCTCCGGTTGCGCTTGCGAACTTCAGAACGCGCGCATTATGATGGCGCGACCCACCTGTTTGATGGAAAACCGGCGGAGGAAGAATTGAGAGAGGGCGGGAGGCGGTTGGAGAGAGAAGTGCAGAGGTTGTGAGAACCGAAGTGGGGAGAGAGAGAGAGAGAGAGAGAGACTTCAAAGGATGCGAGGGAAGTGGGGGAGATGCTGAGCGTAAGTTGGGTGGTGGGAAGGAAGGAAATCAGTCACTCTGTACAGTCCACACAGAGCCAGAGCGAGAGAGAGAGAGAGAGAGAGATCATCGGTGTCACGAGTCGTTTGATTCTGTCGCGCAATTGGATACAGACCTAAATATTCCAAACAATTCAAAACAATATATATCACGATCGAGTTAACTTTTTCCAGGAGAAATTTTCACAAAGCCCCCCCAAGTCTCCGTTTCTCCGAAAAAGGCCCCCGATCAGTGTTTTCCTCGCAAAAAGCCCCCCTGCTGCAGTTAACCAATTCGTCTCAGTTCAGCCTCCAGTTCACTGGCAGCTCATCCGATTTGAAACTTGAACCGAATCGAAAATGCACGAAATTTCGGTTCGGATCGATTTTTGACACCCCTAGAAGCAGCAGGTAATCCTATGATCATTCTCTTTCTTGCAAGGGTCATAGATTTTTACCTCAGCTGTGCAGCCCCAAATGCAAGTATGGTTAGGGGAAGGTTTTCTGTCGGTCCAAATTATGCAAGGTGTTTTAGGTGCAGATTTTCTAGGGAGTCTGTTTAGGATATACATGGCAGCCCTAAGAGCTTCACCCCAAAGATAATCCGGTAAGTTACACTTACTCATCATACTCCTCACCATATCCGTAAGAGTGCGATTTGACCATAATGTTTTCTTCAGGACTACATGGCATAGCATATTGGGCAATCATCCCCCAATCTTGCAAACAGTTGGCAAATGGCCCCATTTGTTGTCCAATTGTATCATATTTACCATAGTACTCATCATCACAATTGGACCTTACAGCCTTGATGACTTTCTCTAATTGCAATTTTAATCATGGAAGTTTCGAATTTTTAAGAGCATATCATTTTTTCAGCAGTCTTCTAGAGGAGAAGAAGTCCATGATAGCATCCTCTATATCACGCCCTATGATGGGCCAGGCTTTTTTAAAGAATAAACTATTGTATCCATCTGGACCCGGGGCTTTGAAATTATTTAGGCCTTTGAGCACTTTAATGATCTCAGTACGTTGAAAGTCTGGTAAAATGATGGCGGTACTGACATCTTCAGGGAATAGGGAAGCAAATCGTTCGTAAGGGAAATGAGTGTGCCTGGAGCTACCAAGTACACGATGATAATAAGATACAATTGCATCCCTAAGAACTCCTTCATCTGTTATAGTAGTGCCATCATCGAGTGAGAGCTGGTTAATTCTGTTCTGAGCACTTCTACGCATCATGGAGGCAAAGAAAATCCTGCTGTTGTTGTCCTCCTCCTTCAACCATAGATTTCTAGATTTTTGCTTTAGGAGGACTTCTTCATGTTTGCTATGGGTCAATAGTTGCTCCAATTGTGCCTTTTCTTCATCCCGGGTGTTTATGTTGTACGGGTCCAATGCAAGATCTCGTTGTATTCGCTGTAGATTCGCTCTAGCATCTTTGACCTTACGACATAGGTCACTAAATTGAGATTTATTCAAGTGATTGAGTTTTTGTTTCAATGCTTTGAGCTTGTTCACCAGAATAAACATTTTGGATCCTCTAAAATCCAGTTGCCAGCCAGCGTAGACAATCGGTAGAAAATCGGGACTTTCAGTCCAGAAATTGAAGAATTTAAAAGAGGGCTTCCTTCTCCTATCAGTGGTGTTAAGACGCACTAGGCATGGAGAGTGATCTGAAACACCCGGCAGTAAAAATTCTACCGAATAATGAGAGTACCTGTTCTGCCAATTTGCATTAATGAAGACCCTGTCAATCTTGCTTGCTCTAAGATCATCATTGGACCTTTTATTTGTCCATGTGAAAAATGGGCCTGTGGAATTAGGCTCAATCAGCGCCAGCTCCTCAATCATTGTGTTTAGCTCATCCATTCCAGAAGTCCATCGGGTATTAGATCCGATCCGTTCAATTGTATCTCTCGTTTCATTGAAATCACCTATAAGTAACCAAGGCATATTTCCTGTATTACCAGTGGAGAATGTATTAACATTATGCCATAGGGATCTCCTTTCAGTTTCAGAATTGCCTCCATAAACTGCAGATAGGAGAAATGAGTCATCTCCTGGTTTTTCAACAAGGCAGTGAATGACTTGAGCCGAACCTTCCATCATAGTCAAGTTTAAAATAGATGGTTTCCATAATACCCATATTCTACCCAGACTGCTGTTCTGATAGTTATGGATAAATTTCCAGCCTCGAAACTTACTATTGATGACAAATTCCGCATTTCCCTCTTTTATTTTATGCTCAATCAAAATAAGAATAGAAGGATCTTGAGATAAAGCAAAATCTACAATTTCCTTTTGTTTGGGGCTACTGTTAAGGCCCCGTACGTTCCATGAGAGGATATTCATTGGTCAGGGGGTTCCGCTCCACTCCCCACATCCCCAAGTAGAGCAACGGGCCAATCAGAAATAGCAGAATGATCGCCCTCGTCCAATAACGCAAATCTATTTGGAGATAGATTCAAAGAATTGAAAGTATCTCTACTTTTGTTAATGGAGCCTGACTTCTGACTTCCACCATGTTTGACATTTGTATAGGAAAAACCTGACTGTGAAGCATCACGAACAAGATTCTTCGGCTGATTGACCATGGAAATACCAGTATCAGTGACAGGAGCAGGAGCTTTCGATAGTATGGCCGAGGAATTTTTATTTGGCAGCACTTTGGTAATCGCTCCAGGTGGGATGGGAGCAATAGAAGCATTATTTTCCGGTGGTCTTGCCACCGATTGGGATTTAGGAACCCATATTGTCTTGTTCGGCACATTGCAATCCTTATGACCAAAGCAGTTACATTTTTTGCATTTTAGCGGAATCCAGCTATAATCAACAGTAATCCCAAAGGTTTCCTCGTTTCCCATATCAAGATCAAAATTTTCCGGGAATGAGCTATCAAAGTCCATGAGAATGCATACACGAGCAAATGTTAGTCGTCGTTTTTCCTCGATAGCCTTATCCATGTACAAAGGTCTACCAAGAAAGCTGCACACATAGCTTAGACCGGTTTTGGTCCAAAGGACATGGGGTATATTATAGAGACGTACCCAAATTGGCACGGAAGTAATCTTTGCCTTTTCCAGTCTGATTTGGGGATGCCATTTCTGTAAAAATAATGGTTTGCCAGCTATGTCCCATATCCCCATCTCCATAACCTCGACTAGCTTTTGGACGTTAGAGAATCGGAAAAAGAAAAAACCGTCTTCCGTAGCCAAAACTTCTAAAAGATTTTCTTTGCCCCAGAGTTTTTCAACGATACCTCTCACCCGGTAAAATGAGACATTAGCAATGAGAAAGTGACCAACAAGACAGTTCTCAAAGTGTGCCTTCCCTTCTTCAATAATCTCCGGGGGAGGGGGGGGGGGGGGGGGGGCACCTAGCTTATTGCCGTGTTTGTTTGGAGGGATGAAATCCAATTTTGCTGTTTGGGAGATCTTCACCATGGTAATACTTTTCCAAGATGGATTTGGAGCAGCAGCAGGGTTCGGTGAAGGTGGATCTTGGCTAGGAAGTGACTCAGCAAAGATGGATCCAGTCATGCTACTATTGCACATAATACCATCTTCCTTAATGGAGGCTTCAACTTCGGGTTCAGCAACACAATTTGGACTCATAGAAGCAGGCTTGACACCACCGATATCAATAGCCAAATTACAATCGAGATTACCACAGCCACATCCAGCATTAAGATTACAATTTTGAACTATATTGGCACAGTTGGAACAAGTTTTCGGAGCAATTGAGTTCAAAGTCTCAACCTCTTTCTCCTTTAAAGATTTGAAAAGGCTGCTTTTAATCTCAGCTGAAGTAGCTTGGTTCTTCAACTTCTTGGATATTGAGGTTTTCAGAACACTAGATTTGCTGCTACGAGTTTGGACCATCGCTGATGGAGCAATATTTTTTAGAGAGGAGGTGCGTCGAATCCTGCATGGAGAGGCGTCTGGGTCGACGCGATCAAGGGCCTGAACCATGGATCACGACCAGAACCAACCAACCAGTCCAGCCACAGCTAAAGGACAATTTCCCTTCTTTGAGGAATTTTGTTGAACACTGGACATCACCTCTAGCAATCCAGAGCAGCATAGACTGGGGCAACAACGTCGGAGCCGGCGTCAAACTCGTGGCAGAGGAGCAGTGACAGGTCGTGGAGTTGGAGGAGTTCGGTCGTGGTCCTGGAGACGCATGCCCGAGGAAGGTTGCACTTCGCAAGTCAGGTGGACAACATTCCTTCTTTGAGGAATTTTGTCGAACACCTAGTATGCATTCTCTATTCTGCTGCTCGTGGACATCACCTTCAGCAAACAGCAACTCAGCATCCCCAGAAATTCAACAACTCAGCAACCTAGAACAGAGTCCCACAGCAAACAGCCACCAATTTCTGGGAGGATCAACAGCAAAGTTGTTGCGATCAGGCTTTTGATGCAGGGCGGAGTGGCTGAGTCGACGCTCTGTGCAGCAACAGCAGGCCCCGCTCGAGAAGGTAGCAGCAACACAGTTCGTCGTCGGGGATGGAGGCGGCACAGATCGGGGCAACCGCGTTGGAGCCAGTCCTCAACCGCGTCGGAGCAGCTCTCCTCTCTTTTGACTGACTTAATCTCTAATAGTTCTCCATGATTTCCAACTCATTGTTCAAATCCCATAAAATTGATACAAACTGATCTGAATCATTTTTCAAACTTGATTTCATATCAGAGAAACTGGTCAAAACTGTTGGTACGATTTCCCATTCTTATAATTGAAGCTCAAGATTCAATATCCAATGTATCAATCTTGAAAATAAACTGGCCCCAAATCACCCACGTGTCCTGTTTGTTCTTCATAGAGCCAACCACCGCTAGAAAAGTTCTCACACCACATCAAAGCAACACCTGGTTCTACCCACCATCACACGTTGCATTTGCCCATCTCTCTCTACAAATGCACAGTATCTAATAACCGGGAATATTAGTTGGCAAGCCGATTATTAGACACCGTGCAAAGCACAAGCCAACTAGCAAGAGTCAAAACTCCTCCCTTGTCACATCCGGGCATATGTGGCTACTATACCAGCTTATCTAGAAAGTAACCAGCTAAAATTGACGTTGAGTATACCCTTTTTACTCAGAAGGCCCTCAAGTTCCCTCTCGTTATTTTTCTTTCCAGAAAAAAAGAATACGGAAAGAAGTTATTAGGAGATCCCTCCACCATATTGGAAAGTGCTTCCCATATCTCTCCTTGAACCTTTTAAGGACATGTTTAGGTTTAAGAGTAGTTGAGTTAATAACAAGGTTTATAATGGACATGCAATTGGATCATCTCCAATACTGGATGATTATAATCTTTCTAAAGATTGTGAATGCCCCATCAGAGTAAGCAATCTTTCAATGTCCAATTTTTCTTGCAAATTGAAATATTCCTCATTAACGTATCTAACAAGAGTTTCAATGACAGTCATTAACAAGATCTTGTGCGTGTATCTAACATTCAACAACCGTACCATTGTATGTCAATCCCAAGTTGGAACAGTCAAGTTAGGCATGAAATCGACCATGAGTATGGAATGGCGACTTTATTACAAAGTATGACAGTCTTGGCCGACGAGGGCATTGGCTCTCAGCATGTCCACGTTATATAGAATTTGTGGCTTCCTTCTTTCCCAGAAAGAGAAAAACAAGAGGAAGCAATAATTTAGGAGTGATTGATTCTCGATCCGATTTTTAAGATTGAAAACTGACACTACAAAAAAACACCGAATTAGCGACGAAATTTGCGACGGAAAATTTGGAAAAATCCGTCGCAAATCGAATTTGCGACGGAAAAAATTCCGTCGCTACTAGGTCGTCGCAAAATTTTGCGACGGAAAATTTAAAAGTTCGTCGCAATTAAAAAATTCCGTCGCTACTAGGTCGTCGCAAAATTTTGCGACGGAAAATTTAAAAGTTCGTCGCAAAATTGCGACGAACATAAATTCGTCGCAAAATTCGTCACAAATTAGCCACGAATACAATCCGTCGCAAATATTTCGTCGCAAATTTGCGACGAACTCTATCCGTCGCAAAATTCGACGCAAATTTCGTCGGAAATTCGTCACAAATTCGTCGCAAAAATTCGTCGCAAAGTCGTCGCAAAATTCGTTGCAAATTTCGTCGGAAATTCGTCGCAAAATTTGTTGCAAATTTCGTCGCAAAATGGTCGCAAAATTCGTCGCAAAATTCGTCGCAAATTTTGTCGCAAATGTCGTCGCAAAATCGTCGCAAAATTCGTCGCAAAATTAGCGACGAATACAATCCGTCGCAAATATTTCGTTGCAAAATTCGTCGCAAATTACATTGCAAATTTCGTTGCAATTTCGTCGCAAAATTCGTCTCAAAGTTCGTCGCAAAAATTCGTTGAAAAATGTATTCGTCGCAAATTAGCGACGAACTGTAATGATCGCAAAATTCGGCTTAAAATATTCGTCGCTATGTTTACATCATTTCGGCCATAAATTCTTGTCCATATCAAACAAAGGAGACAATGACATATAATTGAAACAGAAAAACGAACAAATCATAAATTCTGATAAACAAGCCACAATGACATATAATTGAAACAAATAACTGAAGGAAAGTTACAGAGTCTGACATGATGCTATTGGATATTCAATCTTATAATACATTCAAAACATGAACTAAGAGACGGGACAACCATAGAAGACGCAGAAAAACCATACACAAGAAGACGCAGCTTTGGTACGATGGCAGGACACCAAAAGTAGTCACTTTTGTCGAGACCTGAGGAAATGTCGATACATAAATCAGTCCAGAATATAAAAGAAGCGTTTATGCATGGATGTGGAACTAGGTGTAAAATAACAAGAGGGTTAACAAAAATACGTTTCAGGACGAACATAAATGTTCTTACTTATGAATATGAGTGAAATTATGAAAAACCAAGATTATGAAGCAAGCTTACCCCCGATTTTGAGAATTTTAACTAGAAAGACTGGAGAAAATCATCATCATCATCATCATTAGCATTCTCGGCATCAATGTGTTGGTCATCATTGTGCCCATCACCTACTGGATTGGCTGGAGGTACAGGAGGATCGTCGTAGCGATTGAGGTTAAGGTGTTGCATAACGAGTC